AAAATTGACAAAGATTATTGTTTAAGGTTGACGGACACGCATGTCTTAATTAGTTTTTTTTTTGTTTTTTGTTCGTTTTTTTTACGAATTGGTCAAACCCAAACTCAAACAAAAACATTGTTTTCAATCGTTATGAGTCTCTACCGATTGAATAGAATTTTATTATAAACAATTGTCTTGTAAATGGAATTTTTAAAGCATTCTGAATGTAAAAATAAAGAAAAAAGTGTGCAAGACAATAAGAAACACTACATGCCAAAAAAAAGTGAAGTTTTGTTGAAATCGGTTGAAAACTGTAGGTAGCCTTTCTGCAATCTTTTAGTTTTACAATTTATGATTTTTACTTATTGAATACAGTAAAAAAAATTGCATATTTTGCTTGTGGTGATTCATAATTAGAATTCTGATTTGAATATATTTTCCACTCGTTTCTAATACAAAAAAAAAACTTTAAAAAACTTTATTTGGGTTTATTAATTATGATCTAACAAATCTTATTCATTCAGTAGCCTTTCTGTAATAATAATCTTTTACAATTTATGATTTTTACTTATTGAATACAGTAAAAAAAATTAGACACCATGTGTATTTAAAGTAGTTTGCGGTTATTATTTTTAGTTAGGAGGACTTGTGTATGTTTAGATTTCATTATCTTTCCCTAAAGATAAAGAATTATCCGATGTTTGGATTCGTACAATCAGTAGAGATTGTTAGATTATTGTTTAAGGTTGACGGACACGCATGTCTTAATTAGTTTGTTTTTTTTTTTTTTACGAATTGGTCAAACCCAAACTCAAACAAAAACATTGTTTTCAATCGTTATGAGTCTCTACCGATTGAATAGAATTTTATTATAAACAATTGTCTTGTAAATGGAATTTTTAAAGCATTCTGAATGTAAAAATAAAGAAAAAAAGTGTGCAAGACAATAAGAAACACTACATGCCAAAAAAAAAGTGAAGTTTTGTTGAAATCGGTTGAAAACTGTAGGTAGCCTTTCTGCAATCTTTTAGTTTTACAATTTATGATTTTACTTATTGAATACAGTAAAAAAAATTGCATATTTTGCTTGTGGTGATTCATAATTAGAATTCTGATTTGAATATATTTTCCACTCGTTTCTAATACAAAAAAAAACTTTAAAAAACTTTATTTGGGTTTATTAATTATGATCTAACAAATCTTATTCATTCAGTAGCCTTTCTGTAATAATAATCTTTTACAATTTATGATTTTTACTTATTGAATACAGTAAAAAAAATTAGACACCATGTGTATTTAAAGTAGTTTGCGGTTATTATTTTTAGTTAGGAGGACTTGTGTATGTTTAGATTTCATTATCTTTCCCTAAAGATAAAGAATTATCCGATGTTTGGATTCGTACAATCAGTAGAGATTGTTAGATTATTGTTTAAGGTTGACGAACACGCATGTCTTAATTAGTTTGTTTTTTTTTTTTTTTACGAATTGGTCAAACCCAAACTCAAACAAAAACATTGTTTTCAATCGTTATGAGTCTCTACCGATTGAATAGAATTTTATTATAAACACTTGTCTTGTAAATGGAATTTTTAAAGCATTCTGAATATTAAAAATAAAGAAAAAAGTGTGCAAGAGAATAAGAAACACTACCTGCTAAAAAAAAAGTGATTTTTTGTTTTATCGTTTGAAAAATGTAGGAAATCCGATCCCATATATAAAGGAACACACACACACAAACAACCTGGGTTTTTAACCCGATGTGAGTTGTCCCCCTTTCATTCTCACGATGTCTCTTAATCGTGTTTTCAAATTGATTTTGTGCAAAAATCACCTTGATTTATATATTACTTACTCATATATATATATATATACTACTTACTCATATATATATATATATATATATATATATATATATATATATACACTACTTACACTAGTTACATGGCTCCTCTCTCGGCCACAGCTACAAGATTTAAAGGGATGGACCCGGTTAGCCGTCAACACCGACAAATTTCGGGCAACTTTTGCAGCCAAGTTGTCCCAAAATGTAATGTGTCCTCTATTTCGTTTTATATATATATATATATATAGATATATATATATGAAAAATATAGTTTTGAGGTGTGCTATATGGGAAAAAGTGCTCAATATCAGAGATAGAGCGCATGTAAAAATAAAAGTGAACATTGAAGTCAACACTCAGCAGTGACAGGCTGTTTCGTCCTAGACTGATTCTGATTGCGTCTAGCATGAAACAGCCTGACGCCTCTGAGTGTTGACTTGTATTTCTGGCGACTGAAAAGTTTGGTTTAAATTGTCCATTATCAAAATGTTTTGTTTTTATGTCTGTTTAATCATTTTCAGATATTAAAAAAAAATGATAACGTGTCAAAACTTGTCGACCGGATGTGAACGCTACAAAAGCCAATTTAAAAATAATAATGTCGGTCACTGTACAGGAGCTCCGAGTATCGTACCCGGCTCATAAAATGAAATCTAAACATTGGAGCCAATCGCGAATCGTTGCCGCTGAAGCCTGAAAAAAGAACGCTGAGTCGTGTATCCACCTTGACTGTTTAAAAAGAACCTCTCGGTGACATATTCCGGAAATAATTTTGAAGTTTCGGCTAACGTAACTATTTATCGCGTAATTAGGATATTTCGATAGTTAATTGAAATGAGAGTGGGAACTAAAGACTCGTTCGATAACTCTTTCATAGCTAATTTATTGTCCTACCAGTAGCCGCAAAACTCTCACTCACTTTCCTTATATATATATATATATATATATATATATATATATATATATGGTGAGAGAGAGAGAAAGAAAGAGAGAAACAATGTCCTTTTAACGCTATGAGAAAACAAACTATTTGTCGTATTTTCCCCTGTGGCAGGAATGTCCTCAGCACGTATATCGCCTCACAGCGAAACTTATCCTGGCAAAAGTCACGTTCGTTAAATTCTTGTCGCATTCAACGGTTTTCTAAATGTCTGGATTCCATACATTTGCATTCTGACCACGTGTGAATTCTGCTGAGTCAGTTGTAATTGTGAGGGTCGAAAACCACAACTCTTTTATTAATAAGATGGTTACCGAAGAAAACAACAAATGTGAAATGTAAAAAGAAACAAATATTACAAGTGAAAGAGAGAATGTTAGCAAATATGACAAAGTCCAAAGAAGGGGAAATGAAATCAAAATGGCGGATCATTTTTTTGAATAATACAAAAGAAAGATGACAGATTATAAACTGTCAAGAAGGACTGTTACAGACAGGAAGCAAAAAGAAAGATGAAAGTGAAGTATAAAAACTAACAAAATACGGTTAGGAAGGAAATAAACACGGAATCGACTATATCAATAGTTTAATTATTATCATTATTATTATTATTATTATTATTATTATTATTATTTTCAGATTCAATATCCTTTGACATTCCTTCTTATTACACCTTTAACTCTTTTTATTTCTGGCATTTGTATTTTTTTTAATCTCTTCATTTATCATCTTTTCTATTTTCTTATCAGGCCCGCCTATCGTCCGGTTCTGTTGTGGAGTTATTTCGCAGTGGAGGCTTGTATTTGTACTAAGTCGGCCCTAAAATAGGTTCGACGTACAAAACGTTAGGAACTTGATATAATAGGTATTACGCAGAGTAATCTTGTTGTGGTCGCTGACTACTTTCGTATTCGACTAACTGTCGACTACTGTCGTCCGACATCGACGCTATTTAGTAACTGCCCCACGCAGTGACATGTGGAACAAGGCCGAATTTAATGTGGGGTTCCCGAGCCCGTAGGCTCGGCCAAAAAATCCCCGTAGACCCCAGATAAACGGGATCGGGTCTGTCTACCTCCCCGGACGAAACACTGCCCTTCGGCATAGCCTCGTCCGGGTTCCTCTCTGCCCGAAGGCAGAGAGTTCGACTGTCATCCGACACCGACTACTATTTAGTCACCCCCCCCCACGAAGACATCATGTGGCACAAGGCCGGTTTAACGTGGGATCTCCGAGCCCGTGTGCTCGGCCAAAAATATACCCGTTGAACCCGTATAAACGGGTTCAGGGTCGGTTTACCTCCCCGAACGAGACTCTGCCCTTCGGCATAGCCTCGTTCAGGTTCCTCCCCGCCCGAAGGCAAGAGAATTGAACCGTTCAGCCAGTCGTCCGACATCGACTGACCATCGTTTCTCTTACTACTCCTACTTATATTAGGTGGGAAAGTCTATTAACTATAGAATAGGTGTGTTTCACCATAACAGGTTCACATTCCTCCAATGTCTTTTTGTTTATCCCTTGACCCCTGTTTAAGACTGGGTTCTCGGTTCCTTCAAAAATCTACTCCAACATCCCCGCCTGAACTGTTAATTGTTTTTCACTAATTATTTTTCAGCTCCCCCAATAAGAATAGATAGATTCGCCTATCGTCCAGTTTACAATCCTCCCCTGTCTTTTGAACAGGGGTAGAGGTTTATCCCTTGCCCTTTTTAGGACTAGGTTCCCGGTTCCTTCTAAAGTCGACTTCAACTTTATACTTCCAACATCCCTGCCTGGACTCTGAATTATTTTTTACTAAACTCTATACTTTTAACGTCTCTGTTAGAAATCTGCCCCTTCTAAAGACCACTTCAACATTAGACTTCTAACGTCTCCACCCGAACTTAAATTTTATTCAGTAATTATTATTATTTTCCCTCTCTTAATAGAAGTACATAGGTTTGCCTATCGTTCGGTTCCCATTCCTCCCCAGTCTTTTGACTAGGAGTAGAGGTTTATACCTTGTTTCTTGTTTATTACTAGTTTTTCGGTTCCTACTAAAGTCTACTTCATCTTTATACTTCTAACGTTTCCATCCTTACTCTGACACATTAACCTCGTACCTTGAGTGGTCCTTGGGCTTCGTAATGGATAATCATGAGTAAAAAGAAATCTACTCATAGCTTTCATCCATTTCGGTATATTTACATTTCTCTTTGCTGGTTTGAACTCAACCTCGTCGTCATCAGCTGTCTTATGATTTCTATCACTTTGTTGTTCTTTTCTTTCACTTCCTCCTTTTCTTTTTGCTCTTCCTTCTTTTTCAGTAAATTGTTCTTGATATTCTTCTGCTTCTCCTCCACCCCTCACTCTCTTCTTCTTCATCTTCCTTTTACTTCTTGCTTTCCTTTATTTTCGACTTGTCTTTCTTGTTCCTCCCCTTCTAATTCTTGCTCACCCTTTCTCGTCAACAAATAGTCGTTATCGCCCTTCTCCTTTTTCTCTTCTTTCTTCTCCCTTCTGCAACGTATTCTTGTTTTTCTTCCCCTCCTCATCCTCCTCTTTCTTCTTGCACACACTTCTCATTCAACAATGTATCCTTCTCTTCCCTCTTCTACTTCAACTATTCTTTCTTCTTCATCTTTTTCTTCTCCTCTTCCTTCTTCTTGCTCTCCCTTTTTGTCAACAAATAATCCTTGTCTTTCTTTCTCATCTACTTCTTGCCCACTCTTTCTCGTCAATAACTATTCTCTATCGTCCCTTTCCATTTCTTCCTCTTTGTTCTCCCTTCTTCAGATTGTCTTTCTTCCCCTCCTCATCCCCTTCTTTCTTCTTGCACTTTCTTTTTCAACAACATATCCTTCTCTTTCATCTATTCCTTCTACTTCATCCTCTCCTTGTCTTTCTTCATCTTTTCCTCTTACTTCTTGCCTGCCCTTCTTTTTCAAGACTTGTCATGGTCTTCCCTCTCAAAGACACCCCCCTCCTTCTTGTTTATCATCTACTACTGCTACCCGACTTCCTCCTTTTTATCTCCTCATTTCAAGCTCTTTTAACATCATTTGTCATAATATTCTTTCTCCTCTACTCGACCTCTTCCATCTTCTTTTCCAGCTTTCTCTTCCTCTTCTTCTTCCACCTGCTCCACATACTTCCCAATTTCCTCCTCCTTAATCTACCCATTCTTCACGTTTCCTCTTGCTCCCCCTCCTTTTTCAACAAATTATCATTGGCCTTCTCCTGTCCATTTCTCCCTTCCCTTCGTTCTATGCGTTCTTCTCCTTCTTTATCTACTCTTGCTCCATCTTTCTTCTTGCTCTCCTCTCTTTTTTTTACTCGTCGTCTTCCCACTTTATCTTCTTTCTTTTCTTCTCTTCTCCAACTTCTTAAACTCCACTTTCTACCCTTTTCCTCTTCATATACTTTTTCTTCACTTTTCTTCTTTCTCTTTCTTTAGTATGTCATAGCCTTTCATTATTTCCTTTTCTTTTACCTTACCATTCTCAATGTTTTCTTCTTCTTCTTCTCTTCCATCGTATCTTCTTTCTTCTCTGTCATATAAAGCCCGTTTTCTTCTCTCTCATTTTTTTAATAATCAGTCATCGAAATAATTCTCCCTCTCGCAAATATCTTAATCTCTTTACAAGCAAGCTTCCATTAACTTCCACAAAATGGATTAAATTTCTCTCTCTCTCTCTCTCCCTCTCTCAGCAGATTTCTACTCCTTTTCATTAAATAAAGGTGCAATTGTTCAAAATTAATTAAAACTGCAGTTTATTTTCGATGCCGACAATTAATCACACACAAATATATTTTATTGATTATATACAGTGATATAATTATAACAATATATTTTTATAGAAGGTATTCAGAAAAGTTCTCAGTCTAACCAAGAAGCCCCTCCAAATGTAATCTAACGTTAGGTCAGATTTTAGGAAACAGTCAGGCTGAAAATCTATCAACATCATATACATACATACATACATATTTACATAATTACTTATATACATATGTGCATATCCAAGCGATACATATAAACTGATACAATGCGTCAGGTTAACCTCTAAGATATAGTAGTGGTTGTATATCCAGCAACTAATTTTATGTTTATGCAGCATAAGTAATGCGATTCCAGTGTAAACATGAGAATTCGTAGATGAGGTTGGTGGAGAATAAGGCTGAAGTTGTTACGGAGGACGAGGTTTTTATTTTATTTTGCAGTCAATTGTTAATGTCAAAAGTAGATATATGTTACCTTATTGATCTTTTTTTTAATAACAGCAATTTCATACCTGTGTGAGCATCTGATATTATAATTAAGGTTGCACAAGTCTGAACTTGAGATTTCCTTTTTAACATACGGAAGTTGCAAAAGTTTGGGTACTAAGATATCGAAGAAAATAATTCCGTTTTCAATATTAAATTCGTAGATTAACTGAAGGACAATTGTCTTAAAAGGAAGATTTTTTTTTTTTCATTTCGTCGAGTTTGTTAAAGAGGGTGATGATATCATCAACATACCTGACGTAGAGCGCAGGTTTAGGAAGCATTTTGAATAACCTATTTTCTAAGTGAAATATATTAGTCGGAGATGTGTGCCATAAAGATGATCTCATTACAGCACACTCAGTTCCCGTGTAGATACTACATCATTGGTCAGGTAAATGCACTTCATTAGTATTTGCCAGCAGCGATTTTCGTAGAGACGTGATTGGAGTTATGTAGGCTGAAGGGGCGAGTGTTTATCGTGTTTGGTGTAACACGACGGGACAACTGCAACAACTAAAATGTAAATATAAGGGAAAATAATGATATAATAGAGATGTTATCTTTCCACACAACCTTAATCAAAAAGCTAGGAAGGAAACTCCCATCATTACTAGAAAAAGTGATAGCAGCTAATGAACTCGAGAAAATTATTCTCTTGAAAAAAAAAAAGAACTGTTTTAAAAGAAAGATTACATAAATTTCCACCGAAATAATGCCAATTGCTTAATCAACGAATGTCGAATGTTTCCTGTTTGAAAAATGTTAATCTCGTCATTTTAATCAATCAAAATGTGATTACTTACATTATTCGAACTGTTATCCTCATCTTTATTGCCATATTAACAACGTTTTGGCCGTTGTACGCTCCGGCTTTCTTCAGCTGATTGGAATTTCGAACCAAACCCTTTATTTCGTTCACCGGGATAGATTGTCCTAGTTCCACGTCTCATGCCTCTTCTGGATGTCTCAGTGGATAATGACGTTGGTTAGATCCAGTGACTAGACCCAAAGAGCTGTGAGTTCAATACCAGGCCACAGTAGTGATGAACCAAAACTTGGAGAGTTGAATTAAACGGAAATAACCTGAAGAATTCCGGAACGTACAACGACCGAGACGTTGTGATTATGGCAATGAAGAAAAGGATAACAGCCCGAATAATGTAAGTAAAAAGGACGTTGCATAAATGAGAAGAAACTATTAGCATAGAACTTACGGTTATATCTAGCCCTTTGAACTGATGAAGAAAGTATGAGACCTAACTGCCAATCTAGTACTGCATTTAAATTCGTAAAGTCTAAGTACGAAAGAGGAAAGCTCAGCAGAACAATTACAATGAAAGTATTTATAGAATAGGCACAGGAAGCTACGTTACGGTGGCGGAAAAGAGACTGAAGTCGATATGCCAGATATTATTTATATTTTAATCATTTCACCCCCAAACAAGGTGATAATGCCACTAGAGAGCAAGAGGTTACTGGGCCATGACTGAAAGTGAGGTTAATAAAAGAATATGTGTCCGGAAGACAGAAGATAGTGATTGACGTTTCATTTATATTTTTGAAGATTGTAGGTGGCAGGGAAACAGAAAACCGGAAGGGGATTCCACAGGTGAGAAGTGCTAGAAAAGAAACTATTAGAATAGAACTTACGGTTGCATGTATCTAGTTCAAGAGTAAAACGCTGATACCTAGTAGTCAAGTTAGTAGAAAGTTTGAATTTATGCAGCCGGAACACCAAGGAGAAGAAATCATCAAAAATGAAAATATTTTAAGAAAAGAACACCAAGGAGAAGAAATCATCAAAAATGAAAATATTTTAAGAAAAGACAGAGCGAAGTCACGTGACGGTGGTGACAAAGTGACAGAAGTCAAGGTCAGGATCGATTAAATTACAAACCATTCTTTGAATTTTGTCAAGAATCTCGAGATATATAGTAGGAGCAAAAGACCAGATATAACATCAGCAGTCAAATCACGGATAAATTATAGATTTATAAATGTGCAGGTGTCTTTCTGAAGAGAAGAATTGTCTCCAACCAACTTTCCTAGCAGTAGATGTAGCAACTGATTTAATATCATCACTCCACTTCATGTAAGTGGAAAACTTGAAGCCAAGGAGGGTCAAATAGTTGTTCTTCTGGATGTTAGCACCAGCCGTGCTGGTGGAAGGCAGTAATGATTTCTATATGATAATTAAATTAAAGCAGTTTTCTTTTGAAGACGTTAAAATTTACAAGTTATTCCTTGCCCCAGTTAACTACTGATTGAAGGTCTTTTTCGAGAGCAGTTGCCAGTTTTACTTTATCGAATCTGCCGGGTTTGCTGCTACTAAGATAGGTGTAAATAGTTATATCACCTACATAATAGTATCATTTTCTCTTTTTCTGTTGCATTTTTTTTTTTACAATTATTCATCTAATACAAGGCTCAAGAACGACTTAGAGGGTAAATTAAATTGTTGTAAGGGTGTATACGGAGGACTGCAAGAGGTGCATATTATCAAGGTGTCTTCGGTAGATAACAGTTGACATTAGACTTGAAGAGGTTAATATTGTAGTGATCAGGGAAGCATCTTCTCAGGATTCCGGAGAAGAATATGTCTAAGAGGAACTTCCTCCTTACCAATGGAATATTAAGGAACAGTTCTCAGGAAAATCACAATAGAGTAGCGAGAGGCTAGTAACGTTTCGACTGGGGGGAAAAGGGGTTCTAGGCTGGAAAACAGTTCATCACCCACAAAGCCGCGTAAACGCTTTTGAACTCTGTCAAGGCTGGAGAGTGGGGATTGGGCAGCTCTAGCCTAGAGGTGGTAACAATACCCCATTTATGGTTTGACCTGGCTCTCGTAAAGATGGACCATGGCAGGAGGAGTCAGATACATTCTGAAACAGTACAAAGAACCGACCATTTTCGACTATCTTTACCTATGGATCGCACATACAAGTTTATTTCTGGTTTTGATTTTACAATGATGTTCATCCTGTGAAAACCTCAAGAGCCACTCAAGACAGAGGGTTACACAGCAAGAGGCACCACAGCAAGCAAGGTGATAATGCCACCAAGTCGCAAGGGTCTACCAGGAGTAAATGTGAATGAAAACAATTTAGAGGGAACCGGAAACCCAATCCTAAACAAGAAACATGGGATAAACCTCTACTCCTGTACAAAAAGCCGAGGAGGTGTGTAAACCGGGCTATAGGAAAATCTATCTACTCCTAATGAAGAAAAAACGTAAATAAATGTTTTAGACGAAGATGTTACAAGTATAGAGTAGACTTTTGAAGGAACCGGAAACCTAATCCTAAACAGGAAACAAGGGATAAATTACTTCCCATGTTCAAAAGATCAGAGAGGAGAGTTATCCAGACGATAGGCGAACTTATTTGCTCCCAGTAAAGAGAAAAATATTGGTAAAAAAAATGAAACCGGAACCTCATCAAAAACAGAGAAGAAGAGATAAACCTCTACTCCTGTTCAAGAGAAGTCTTTGAAAAGAAACATTTGAATTCTAAGTCACTATTTCCCAAGACATCATGGCGATTAACTTTTCCACAGTTCTAAGTCAAATAGCATGGTAGACTAGGATCTCTAACTTTGGGTGGCAGCCAGACTAAAAGAACTAAAATTCTGAGAATTGGTAAAAATCCTTCACTCTCTTTCACAAGACGCCATGGCAATTCACACATGATAAAGAAACATCACTGAATAGACATGAACATCTACATTTTCTTGGGAGATTGAATAAGTTGAATAGTATTTATGTATTAAGAACAAAATTTCTTACAAAAAAAAAGCATAGCCATAGTTATTAATTTTTTTATGTCTTGACGCGTTGAGTCGTAGGGGAAATATGTGTATTGCAGCCACAGTAGAAGTGATGTTTCTTAGGCAAGATAGCCTCCAGGCCGGTTTTAAATTCATTTTAGAATCCAGTCTATCTTGATATCTATACATAGCTGGGGGATCATAGCTTTCCCGGTGAAGGGGGGGGTGTTAGCCCGTAAGTGAATGTAATGGATCCGACTGGAATTCGAACTCGGTTCTCAATCCGAGCCGCTATCCATTACTCGACCGTTATTCCTAATTATTGATATTTGACTAATAATATATCCTAATTTTGTTACTGTTAAATCTAGTAGTAGTAGTAGTACCATCTTTAGTACTAGTAGCATTAGTGCTGTCTGAAAT